AGATGGATGGGCAGCCCCTGCGCTGCGGGGGATCTTGAAAGCAGATTCAAAGTCATGCATACCAGGGGGCGGGGAGGGGCACGGAGAGGCGGGATGTCAAATTTCCATATATTTCCATCATCCTACTGTCATTTCTGCCTAGCATGTCACTAGTCACACATTACAAGGCTTTCCCGCGCTAGTCGTACCTATTAAAAGTGTGCCCTGACCGAGATGGTTCATTTCCCCCCCAAAACAAACACGTGCTTTGGGAAGACTGTGGGAGCTGCCTGTAGCTGGTAAGAGGCATCCTCTTGTCACGGTTTGCCTGTTTGAGCTTGTTGCTGCTCGATGCCATGCCAAACGATGAAGTAACTGAGAAGAGGGATATCCCAGGCAGGGTTTGAGTGATCCAAGTGTTTGATTCAACATCTTCTAGGTGAAAAACAAGGTGATATGATTGGGTAGATGCTTGTTGTGCTGGTGTTACCTACCACCTGCATTGCTGCAGCACCTGCAGCCACAGGCCTGGGTGGAAAGCCCCTTGCCATGTGTCATCCAGACAGAAAGTGGCACCAAAAGGCCCAGGCTGGGGAGCCTGTGCTGCAAACACATCTGAAAACGGGGCACCCTTAAAAATAGTGAACGGAGGCTTACAGCAATGGCCAGTCTTTGATGTTTTCCTACTGTCAAGGCCCCTGGGAAGAGAAAGCCTCACAGATACTTCACCCCAGGCGAGGTTTGTCACAGGCATGACAGGCAGCTGTCCCCTCCATCCCACTGCCACCATCAGCAATGCTCAGGTGACAGCCAAAGGGACAGCTCTGTGCAGGGTGCCCCGAAGACTGTTCAAGGCAGGACCTACTGTATTTCATGCGTGTTTCCATATTTCAGGTCATAAATCCTGAATCCTGGGCTGCCAGCTGGCTCCTCGGCAGCCTGTGCCGAAGGCTGAGCGATGCCCTGCCTGCCTGGCTTGCAGAGGACAGACAGAAACCTCCAAACCTCCTTTTCCTCCTGCCGAACCCGCAATGCCCGTCCTCACTGAGAGGACAGGCCTCCGTCCCCAGGAGCTGACTCCAGCAAAGCTTCGTGTTGCCGCTGTGACTCATGGCTCTGTCACTGGCCTTTCAGGATTGAAATCTGGGAACCAGTTTTTCTAACTCCAATCCCCCAGAACAACATAAGGCGTGTCTTAAATTATGCCTACCAATGTTGGGCCCTACAGGCTCCTATGTCATTCCCAGGGGAGTTGGTTTAGCCCGTCAGCCAAAGGTTCAGAGAGGCTTGGCCAGGCCCTTAGCCCCCAGGTGTTATTCTGCTTCTGGAAGGGTTTGTGGCTTAGAAGGGCTGTAACAATTTTTAAGCATCCAAAAATAGCCAGTATTATATCGTGCCTGTCTAGTATCCACTATAACATCAATCTCTAGCCCAATTCCCTTAATTTAGCTACTTACAGAAGTTAAACAACTTTTGAGATAATTTTCCTGTATTTTGTCTCATGCCAGTGACAAGCATATGGGAGTGCATGTGTAAGTTTGTAGTTTCGCCAAAGTCAGCCAATTCTTCATTTCAGAGGGAAATAAATCATTTCTTTCCTCCCCCTTCCACTGTCTGTCTTCCTGTCCTTACCACCACTCCTCACTCCCACAGATGAAGGTCAGAAAGCTTCCACCTAACTGCAGAATCCTCAGAAATTAACAAAATGAATCCACAGACTTGAGAAGGGTCAGCTGAGTCTCCAGCCCACTTTGTTTCTGTGTGCAGTGCTGTAGTCTTCAGCATGACTACTTAGCTGTTCAACTGCTCCAGAGCTTAAAATAGGAGAGCAGGAGCATTTGTCCCAAAGGGTCAGGATGAGCCCTGTTTTGCTCTTACACATGGTGTATTCTCATTTCTTTTCTAAAGATTTCTTCTCTCCTCGGCACTCTGTAAAACAAGGAGCACCAGGCTCCTCAAATGCCTTCAGATGCTGCTGAGACTTCTGTCGCTGAACCTTAAAGCTGTTGTTTAATCACTTCACTCACAGCCAGATGCAACCTTTTGCTTAGAGAAACTTCTTCAGTCTGGTCTGTGCTTTCAGTCAAGATCAAGCTGTTTTCCAAAGGTCTTTTCAAATCTGCAGTCATGTCTTATTTGAGCTCCAGCTGCGCTCCTTTCTGAGTGCAGTGTGTCCTGGTTTACAGCACAGTGTCTTTCTGCGGCTGTTGTTTTACCCTCGGTGTTGGAAGCTGACTCCAAGCCTTTGCCATCCTGTGCCCACGTCGTCTTCTGTTAAGGAAGAGCCAGGAAAAAAGGGTTTCCACCATGCTGTGCCCAGTATGGTGTAATGAGGGAAATACGTGAAGCGAAGGTGTTTTAAGGGGAAGACTCCAGCTGTCTGTGCAGAGCTGCATCCAGCAATCACAAAGCACTGTGCCTGATAGACGGCTGGTTCATCCAAATGTCTGGTGAACACTTGACAGTCTACTAAGATAAGTTACTGTCTAACCACTGCTTCATACTGTATTAATTTATTCACTGGTTTCATGCCAATAATGAATAATGGTGCAGTTCAGGGAATTACATTTTTTTTTTTTTTTTAACCTGGCAGCTAAATGTTGCCTGGTTTTGCAAGTTAAATTATCAGCTCAGTATACCTCTTAACCTACTGTCACAAATGTGACAGGCCTAATCTTTTTTTTTTTTTTTTTTTTTTTTTTTCTCTTGCCACCTAAAATAAGTAAATTCATCTGAAATAACTGCCTTGGAAAGGTTAAGTTAAGAATCCTTCAAGGATAGTTTAAATGATCATTTTTTCCCCATTTTTGAAATTTCTAGATAATAATTAAAAAAAAAAATACTCACTCTACACCATTGTGTGTCAAGTGTAGAAGTAAACAGTCATATTAATTCTTACAAGAAATGCTGCCTAGGAAATTACAGTACTCTCTAGCATGTCTTGTGTGTGAACATGATAATGTTCATAGTAAGCAAATGTAGACATAGTTTAAGTACACTCCAAATGCAAATACAACAGAAGTAGCAACTGGTCTTGTGTTTTGGGGCTCTGCACAGCCTGTTTTCACTGAACACAGAAATATTTTGCTGAAAACTATTTGGTCAATTATCTATTATTTTCCTGTTTGGCTACATGTATAAGGAGGAACAAACCAGAATATATAAACCAGTTAGATATCAATGCAGTAATATGAAGTGTAAGATGACTGCTAACAGTAGCTAATTTTGGAGCTCACAGATAGCACGATTTGTTTATTTGCTTATGGCTGCTATCCAGCAATAGTGGTGTGACTGGATGGAAAAGGACGTGATAGAAAAAAAAATCTACAAAGTTGACACTGTTTGGCAATGCCAGCCAAAGAAAGGGATCTAGCAGAGAGGCCGTGGGTGGGTTAGCTGCAGGGTACACAGAGGGCCAAACACCCTGCCACTGCTGCCTCCCTCTGCCCAGGCTACTCTGCTCATCCAGGGGATGCCAATGCAGGGGGCAATGTCTTCTTCTATCCACCAGCAAATCCACAGCCCAGGAGAGGATTTTTCCACAAATTTCACTGAATTCTACTTGAAAAAAAGTCATGGAATCGACCACATTGTCCCTTATGTAAAGATGTAAACCTCACATTTAGTTATGTGTGCAGACTAACTGGTCACTGGAGAGGGAAATTAAATGGGGTACAAAGTCACAAACTTCAATAATCATAACTCTACTGAAGTCACTGGGATTTAGGCATCTCTTTTCCTTTGAGGTGATGAACGAAATACTTCCCACAACTCCATCAGTGAAATGAATTCCAAAACAACAACAGGGCTTGAAGCTTAATTTCTAAAAACAGCAGTGTACCCCATTAAAAAAATGGTGTTATATTTCGTTTGGTGACTGCTCCAATAATACCCTTAGCAGCTGTTGCAGCATCTTGGTTGGGATTCCTCTCACCTAACTTTAGTCATCCTAAATTAGGTCTCCAGTCTAAATCTGATCCTTTGACATCCCCCAAAGCCAGGCGGCTCCACCAGATGGCTATTCAGAGCTCCAAAAATTTAGTAAGGGGAATTTCTGTGGTTTCATAGTTGAGTTTACTTTAAACAATCAACTGTTTTATAAGGCCCTGCTCTGAGAAAACAACCTTTAACCCATCAAAAAATCTCTGCATTCTGTTAAATAGAGCGTGAGACACACCAAAAGCTCGATGCAAAATAAAACAATTGTGTTTACTTTTAGAGGTTTCAACCGTCCCTGTAAATCACCAGCTGTAAAGCAGCAGGAAGCTGGATGTGGATGGCCCCTGAGAGCAGGACACACAGCTCCAGAGAGCTCCCAAGGACCACAGAAAATAAAGGATGCTTTGGCCTCATTTGTATCTCCAATAGGTGATAGGGAAGCATGCTTTTATTTCAACAGTGCTACTTTTGAACTGAGGGTGACAAAACCCGAGGTATCAACCTAGGAAGAGCTGCAGCTTTCAGTGTTACAGCAAAAGGCCTTCCCCAGGCAGAAGGGACAAAAGGAGGATGAGGAGATTGCTCTCCAGAAGCATCTCTGGGGCAGCCATTAGAGCTGACACAAATGCCAATGAAGCACTTCCCAGAGGAGCTCTGCTGAAGACCTCAGTGCTACAGCTTAGTCATATTAGCAGGCTCTACTTAAAAGCAGTTCATCCCTCCAGGTAAAATATAGACCTCCCCAAAAAGTGGGCTCTTTCAACTCCAGGTAAAAAGCAGTGAGTAGTATCTAGGACATAGAGAGCTAGATACTACTCTGAAGTTTCTCAGAAGCACTGGAAAAAAAAATGGGATTATGATAAGCACCAAGCTTTTTGGCAGAGTAGAAAATTGAACTAATATTCTAGCATCCTGATCTGCTGTTGTTTTCCTCTTTCTAGAAGGGTTTCTTTTGTTTTAATTCCCTGTGTATGGGGAACATATCTGCTCATTCAGACCACCTGAAGGAGGTAATTTAATTTCCCAGTATGTGGTAGCCAAAGTTGTAATTAATCTCAGGACCTATAAGTACTGGAGCCTCCCCCTGTGATGACTGGTTGCTCACCAGCTGTGGCAAATGATGAGGTGCTTCAGCAGGGGCCCTTTGGCCATGCTGCCCAGGGCAAGATCAGTCCTGCTGACCAGCAAGGTGGGTCCTTGCCACTTTTATATGGCTGATGGTGTTGTGCAGCTATATCCACCATGGGTGCTGAGAAGGACAGAAACAGTTTTGTGGATGGAGCTTCATGGATCTTGGCTAGAAATTGCTGGTAAGTACATTGATTTCTACCTGTAAGGCCCTCTCAGAGCAGCCTGGCTGCAATCAGCAGAACAGAAGATGGCGAGAGCTGACTGCTGAAAGCCTTTGTGTTCTTTTTCATTATGTCCAAACACCCCTTTAACTGCCTGATTGACAGAGCCCTTTGAAAAATGTTGCTTTCTGAAGGACTAATTGTATTTCTGGATGTTGAGGTTCTGTTGTTCTTGTGTTTGAAGCTTGTGGTAGAGTTAAATATGAGAGGCATCTTTCCTGATTGGGCTTTTCTTTACTCTCCTGAGGACCAGCCCCCCCATCCTCTTTGCTTGGAAGGACTGGTCCGAGCTGTGCTGAAATAGGTCTGTGGGAAGAGCTGTTCTTGGTCTGGCCTGAGGTGACTTCTTCTTTCTCCTCTGAAAAGAGAAGTGCTCCTTTTGAACTGTCTTTAATTTTAGCTCTTACTTCTGTTCCATGTGAAGAGTCCGTGTCCCCTGGGGACATGGTATTTGCCTTTCCTTGAACCCTGCTCCTATGGTCTCTCAGGCTGCCTCTGCTTCCAGAAACTAGCTTTGTCTTTGATCCGTGTGTGTCAATTCATTTATCTAAAGATGAAAATGCCCCCCTTGCACTTAGAAAAGAGACTGTATAAGCCACGTGTACCCCCGCGTGTTGGCCCAGCAGCAGAAAGGTGGTGTGGCAGAGGGGCATTTCCAGAGAGACTTTAATTTGGGGAAGGGAAGGCACAGGGTTTCTGGTGTGTGACCACTGCTGCAGCTGTGCTGAGCACATCTCAGCCCTGTGCTGTGGATTCCACTCTGCTGGTAATTGAATTGAAATCAAAACATAACCGAATCGCTCTCACACTCTGGCTGCTAAATAGCAGTATTGTGAATGAATCAGAGTTACTTCAGAAAATCACTTTAATGTGGCAGAATTGCAGCAATCAGAGGACAAAGTTAGATTTAGGAGTATCTGGTAAAGAGCTGATTAGAGTTCAAAGGAAAGCTGCTTTTGTTCAGCCTTTCTGCAAGCAGGGGTATGCATGGCCCAGAGGAATTAGCAGTGCTTGAGGGACAGAGTAACACCTGATTCCTGTTCTGCCCTGATCTTTACCTCCTGGCTTTGTGTGGACATTATTTTTTTTCCTGCAGTTTTTCCCAGGTTAAAGAATACTTAGTTCCTTGGCTCTTAGTGCTCTGTAAGACTATTCATTTCACTGTATAAAGAGCTATGTGGGCAATAAAGCACCTCTCCCCCTACCCCCAAATGCCAAACCAGCCAAGCTGAAGGGCAGGAAATAGGAATTGCTTGGTATCAGAAGCTGCAGGTTGATGGTTGGAAAGAGCTAGTGGGATTTTAAACAATTAATCCCTTGAGATAACCTTATGTCTTGCCTTCTACAATGATAAATGATGCCATAGCTCGGTGTTGCTGCTATTCAGCACTCCTCCATGTTGATCTCATGTGCATCCTGCTGTCTTTGCTGTCATTCCCATAATGTGTCTTCACCATCTGCTGCAGCCTTGAACGGGACCATGCTCTTTGAGCCTTGCACAAAAGGATTAGCCTAGTGAGAGAGGGAGGTGAGTGGGAAAAAATAGACAAGCCTTAGAAAGGAGAACCACCCAAGACAATATTGTTACTGGTTGGCATGCAATAGAGAGGTGCAAAGGAGACTTGTGCTACAGGCATGGTATGTTAAAGTGGACAGGGAAGGGTGCTGGCTCTCCTTGCTTCCCGCAACGATGGTGGGTAACAGTGAGTATTTAGTCAGTCAGTCTGTGTTTCAAGGGGCTTATGTCTGGGCAAACCAAACTTCCTGGTGTCAGACTGCCACAGTCATGAAAATAGGGAAATGAAGGCTGTCTGGAGGGGTACACTTCACCATAAGTTAGTAAGTCAAAACACTTTTTTTTATTTAAACCCATTGGTTTTTGGGTTTTTTTGTTTGTTTTTGTTTTTGTTTTTGTTTTTTTTTCCAGCTTGAAATAGATACAAAGACTTTCCATGTACCATGGATTGGTGGAAGGAACTATGTTAAGGCTCAGTCATGCTAATATGGGCACTCACATTTTAATGAGCTCTAGTAAATAGCCCCGTAAACAGAGAATAAAAATACAATCAATTTTTCCAACCTTTTTCATGCTGATAGGAAAAACAACCATCAACTTGCTCACATGGAAGATTTTCTCAGCTGAACATATGAAAATTGGAATCTTGCAACTTCTATCAAGAGCTATTCTAGCTCTACCTGTAACTACCTTTAAGTACTTTACAGTCAGTACTTTAATTAGCCCAAGTAAAAGAGGGGGGGAAATCTGTGGCTAGATATACCCATCAAGATATCATGTCATGATGTTTTTTTAAGTAGGGATGCTAGATAGCAGAGAGAAACTGACTTACACATTCATCGACAAGCATATGGAAAGACTAATATCTGGTTTCATTTCTGATGCCATCTTAGTTGGATCTATTTAAGTTGTATAAAAGAATGTTTCCATGTGTGCATTTGTAGGTGTACCTCCTCCTTGTGGGAGAAAGAAGAGTCTGTAGCCAGAGTTCTTGCTGTGATATATTGCCACTTATCTAACTCAGTCTAGACCAGAACAAATGAATCTATTGTTTCTGATCTGCAGGTCAAACCTATTGCCTCTTATAATTACCTGTATGACAACTTGTGTAAAAGGGCTTTATGCTTCACAGGCTGGCTAAAAGACACTGAGAACAGATTTTCTTTCTTTCTTAAACCAAGAACTTCAATTTGCTCTTGGGATGTAGCAATAAGTAATGATAAGGCATTTCTATTGCTGGCGAAAATGTTATTAACCTGTTTGTGCTAGAGTCTTACATACTTTGAGGTGTGCACTGTTGACCCTGTTCCTTGAAGAATAGTATTGAGGACTGGGCAAAGGTGGCACTGTTATTCCAGCACTGTTTGGGACCTCCTGGAGAAGTCATCAGGCCAGGATATACCAGGCATTTCCTTGGTGTGAGTAGAGGAGGAAAAAAAAGTGTATAGGGAAGTAAAGCTTTGCCTTACCAGGTTTCCTGCGCAGAACTACAAAGAAATATGACAAATAATTTCCAGCACTTTTCTTCAAGGTCAGCAGTTTGAGAAGTCTTTCCAAAACACCTAGGTTATGATTGCAGCTGCCAGCCTTTGCTGTTTCAAAAGCTCCTACCTATCAACACAAGTGTTTCCCCGTGCAAAGCTGCTGAACTGGTTTCATCCTGCCTGCAGAGTTGCCTTATTTCAGCTTATGAAGTCAGATGTTTCTGGAAGAAACTCTGAATTTGTGTGGTGTATGTAACTCCCTCTCAAGTTTCATAAGCCAGATGAATACATTTGGACTGAAATACAGTAGGAATAACAGGCCGGGGCACTCTCTTACCTGTTGATAAGTGATTTCCTCATGAGATGCAATGTATTTTGCATTATTCTGGAGATCTCTCACATCTTGTTACCTAGGAGGTGGTTTACAAGTGATCTGGATTAGTCTCATCAGCACCACAGAAAGCTTTTTGGCTTTTTTTTTTTTTTTGCAGTTTCCATAGCCCCTCTGAGTACTGGGATCTCTGAATACTCTTGAGAGATGCTCTGAGACTGTCCTCACCCAGCTTGATAGCACGTGTCAGGCTCCAGGCAGGCCGCCTTCCTGTGGGGTATTTCTGGTTGTCCAAAACTCTCAAATATCTTCTGTGAATGGACAGAAAGGCACAGCTCATGAGTTACCCTAGCTGACTTGGGGCTCTCAGTAGAAGAGTGTCTTCAATTGCATCAAGGAGTCAAAATGCAACTGTATTTTCGAATTTCTCTTCCTTGGCTTGAAAACACAATCAGTCAGCGATGACACTTTAGTTTTTCATGTAAAACAAACATAAGTGTCCACAGAAAAGTGAGATTGGAAAAAAATATTCTCAAGTTTTGTCTTGGGACACTGATTAGATGGTTATAAAATAATACTATTTGTCGGAAGTTCTTCATTTGTTGGTGGTAAGGGTCCTATGCTTGTGAAAGCAGAATAACATAGAGAAGAATAAGGGAAACGTCATTTGAAAGCTGTTTCATTGGCTACTTGTTAAGGTTCAGATCTAGGGGAGAGCACTGAGGGACAGAGGAGTTGTAGTAAGTAGTTCAGGTTCCTGTATTCAAGAAAGAAAACGTCCAGAGAACTGTATCTATTCTGGTTTCTGTGGAAATAGCTGTACTTTTTTGGTTTTGAATCCAAAACCAAATTTCAGTTAGGAGGAGTATCAACACCATGGAGACTTTAGGAGTACAAAGGGTGTAGAAAGACCAAGACTGAAGTCACCCTGATTTGGGAAGATCAGAAATCTGAATCTGATTCTCCTGTATTGCAGGGAGGTGCACAACTGCTTGTCTGCTGGCTGTGGTGAGAAGCACAGGTGGTTTCTTAATTAATGATCTTTTTCTGTTGCTTTGCTTTCCTTAAGAAGACTGACAAAAGCATGATTTCCCCATGAGGAAAAACTGAGGAAGGGGGAGAAAAGAGGTTTCTTAGGATAGGAGCAGTATTTCCTGCCCAGCTCTAGCACTGATATTCCATTAATTTAGATGTTATTCAGGTAAGCAGTGTCTTTGGTTGGTTGGGAAACTTCTAGGAAAAAAAATATTTCCCCTCAGAAACATCTGTTTCCAGTACTTTCTGGCTCCTGCTCAAGTCTAGAGCTCCTCAAGGATGGTCTCTCACCTACTCCCCCTTCTTCCCCCCCATTCCCAGCACCCAGGGGATGCAGAAGGTGCACAGCACAGGAAGGGAAGGCTTTGTCATTCATAATTGTGGTTAACCAGGCTTGAAAGCTGGCTTAGCCTCAGTCTGAGCTGAACTTTGTTTTGGCTGATAGTTCTTAGTTAATGCCAATTCCCTTGTCCAAATTCATCAAAGAGATTTATAGGAGCCTGTACATAGGTGCTCTTCTCAGAGGAGAAGAGGAAAAAAACAACAAACATCAGCACTCAAAGATGAGAGGAACTTGGCTCTCCTCCCTGGGGAGGAGAACAACAAGTACTAGCAAAGCAGAAAAGAAAGCTCTCCGGAAGGGCAGTGAGTAACAGGGAGGAGCAGGGATGACTTAGCACTAGGAGCATGTCATTGCCTCTGTCCTAGCCTCCTCTGTAGCTTCCAAACTTGCTGTTTTGCCACTTGATGCTACTGTGCCACTGTACGGACAACCTACTACTGGGCAGGGTGTGCTCTGGTGCATGTTGGATTGCTCCAGCTGGGCAGGAATTGTTTTTGTAGGTATTAATGTGTACAAGTTGGTTCAAGTAGGCATTGGCATGTTATCAGCCAGCAAACAAATCCTGTGTATCAGTGCTTAGCTACTGGGGATCCTAGAAAGAAATATAAGGTCCTGTTGCTCGCAGTATTGCTCCAAGGAAATGTTTTGATGCTGAATATCTTTTTCCCCTCTTGGAGCTCAGCCCTAGTGTCTCTCCTGCAGACAGTGGTTCCTAGTGCATAGCAAAGATGAATATGGAACAAAATAAATGACATTAAAAAAGTCAGAGCCTTTGCTGATCTAAGCTGAAGCATTAGATGACATGAAAGCCATTAAAGCTAGGCCAATTTACATCTGTATTACCAGTGAAATTCAAAATGCTATCTGCCTCTCTTTCAGTGTAAGCTGTCACATGCATGTACCTTGTAAATGGCAATACTGCTGGTGTTGTCTTTCTGCTATTGTTTTTGCTATTGTTGTTTGTTCTTAAGTACTTACCATGTGACGCTGTGCATCATAAGATCATGAATAGGTGCATGGGGCCAGACCTCTTGGCCTGTTGGTCCTGGCAAAGGAGGGGGGAAACTGCTTTCTTCCTCATCTAACAAAGTCTTACATTTACTGTGAGATGCTGGGTGAGAAGGAAGTCCCAGGTTATGCAAGACTGCTGGAGAAATGGCCAGGAAGCACAAGAGCATGGAGGAAACATATGGATATCATTTGGATTTTTCTCTGTGGAAGCTGAGAATCTGCACGTGCTAAAGTGAAATGATTTTCAGTTGGTTTTTGAGGAAAATCCATGATAGAGATCCCAAACATTTTCCTTAATGTTTGGGCTTTCCTGTACAGGCTGCTTCATTCTTATTTCAGGCTAAAGTAAATGGAAAAAACATAAGGGGTCCTGCAGCCACGGCCTGGAGCTAACTTTGCTCCAGAGCAGCAAGTCTAGTGGTGAGAACTGAACCTGTGGCCAGAAGCAGAGGTGAGGGTAAGTGCTAGAGGCCACCCTATCACCCTGGGGGTGGCATGTGGGGGGACAAGACTACAACAAAGGGTTCTAGCAGGCAGGTTCTGGAGGCTGGCTGCTATGACTAATGCCTTGGTGTGCAGCCAGGTGCTAGAGGCAGACCTTCCTGCCCATGGGTGTGGGATTCATGTTCCTAGTCTCCAAAGGGCCACAGCCTTCTGGCAAATGAACCCTTTGGGTTTAGCTTTTGTTTCTCCTCCTCTGTCATTCCCTAGCTGCCTTAAGGCCTCTCTAGTTGCCTTCCAGTGAGGATGGCACAGCGAGGATCCCAGCGACCCATCCCCTGGAGAAGAGAGTCTCATCCTACTGGCAAGTGGTGCTGGATGAGTTAAAGCCTAGCTGAGGCATGTTTGTGGGCTGTCCTTGGGTGTTCCTCTGAGCTGGCGACAAAGGAAACCAAACAGGAGGTGCTAACAAGGAAGGAAGGGCCTGTCTGCTGCAGAAAGCTTTGAAAATTAGGAATTTAAGGGATGAAAAAACAGCTCTGGTTAACTTTCTGTAAGTCATGTCAATCTCTGTGCATGTAGATCTAATCCCTCTCCCTGTCATTGTTTGCATCAGGTTCATCTGAGCTGTGCACCCTTGCATGTGAAAGGATCTTCAAGGTTTGATACCTTCTCTGAAACTCACGCCTTAAGCTATTATTAGAATAATAATAAAATCCACACAACAGCACTTCTGGTGTGCTGTTTCAAAACTGTTGCTCCTTCACTACTCACAGCTGCTGCTCTATGGCTGTCAAAGCATTGAAATTGTTTACATCCTACTTTGCTTTTGAAATAGTAGAGACAAGTATGTTCAATCAAACAATGCTTCACAGTAGGACTTGACCAGCCAAGCTCCTTAGGAGGGTATAGTGCTACATCTTTTGAAGGTATATGGGTCCTCTGAAGTTTTGTACCTAGCTTTTCTTGCAAGAAGAGCCAGGTTCAATCTTCCATTTGGGCAATGTATGAAAAGTAACATGTTGGTTTTTTTTCTCGACTCTCCATCTTGTATCCAGTTGTAGAAAGCCTTTGAAAGTCTGAAGTTGTAGGAGCTGTGACAACTGGCTGAAAGCATCCCGTGAACTTGTGAGGAAAGGCAGCAGATGCTGAATGCGCAGCCTGTGTGCGGCCAAGGGGGCTGCAATGCACCAAGGGAAATTAATTTGTTGCAGATGCTCTTGCTGTGACTGAGCCAGAGGAGGAAGGGGGAGGGGGGCCACGTTGCTTCTGACCTGCATGTTGCTGAAGAACATTGTTCCCCTCAATAGCTGAATTTGCTGTGTACAGTTGGGATGGATGGGAGCCCTCATTTGAAACCTAGTTGCTGTGTTATGTGGTGAAGAATTAGGCATTCCCTGCACCATTTCTGCCTTCGCATATCCACATCAATGTTTGCGAGTAGTCTGTCTTGCTCTTAATATCTGAGAGATGAATATAGCAGCTAATAAGGGAGAAGCTTGCTGCAGTCCTTGAAACCATATAGCAAACAAGCACTTTGCTAATCTTGGACGGGCTTTGAAGTCAGCATTTCTAAAAGCTCTGCAAGATCCCTTTTCACTGTAACCACAATAAGAGAGAATATTGGAGATGACTTTTGAGATGGAACAAAAGCCAGCAATTGAATTTCCAGGTATTGTTGCACTTGCACATGGCACCAGGAAAAGAACCTCAATGTGAGGGGACTCAATCAGATTAAAAGGTTGCAGGCACTTGCAGGATTTTGCTATCATTAATTCATTGAGCATCTTCTGTGGAAAAAAGCTCTTAAATTGAGGTGTTTTCAGTGTGATATTGGATGGTCAAAAATGGGAGCTTGCACTCTGTTTGGCTCTGCTCTTTTTTTTTTACAGCCCTTCTGAGGGATGGCACTTCATGGGACTGCCCAGCCTTTGTCTGCCCCTCAGTCATCTTTTTCCATCCCTCTGCTATTCCCCTCCTGAGCCCTGATCCAGCCTGTTGCTGAACTGAACAGACTTGAGCATGCACAAGGCAGACTGGGTGGAGCGAGACCTAAAATATGTATGCAAGGTCCTGATCTTCACAGGCCATAGCACCTGCAGCTTCCACAGACCAGTGGGAAACCCAAATACTAGTCTCCTTGGAACACCAGCACGGCTCCTCTGGCTCCCTGAAGGCAACATGGAAGAAATGTAACTCATCCATTTGAGAGACAGGGATCTCATCTCAGTGAGATGTAGCTGTGGAAAACTACTCACAGGCTTTTAGTGTTGTTTTGAGAAGGAGGTGGGGGTAACTCTTGTATTTTGGCTGTGCTGTCCCACTATCAAAATTAAAAGATGATCAGAGCCTTCACTTGGGCTTCAGCCCCTGGTCATGCTGTTACATTCTGTATGTTTGGCAGCCAGGGCTGTGGAGGATAAAGAGCTGCCATGTAGGACAAAAGATGTCCTCCTCTTTTATGTATGTATTTTCCTCAAATGCCACTGTACAAGTGAGTTTGGGTCTGTGTTTTCCTGTTATTCAGACAATTTCAGAGGTGGTAGCAGCACAATTTCAGTGCACTATTTGATGCTCCTGGGTCTCTATATATGCTACCTGCTTCTCTCTGCTGTTGGCAGAAGTGTTAGGCTCATCATGGGGGAAAAAAAATCTTGTTCTGACTTAACTGGAATGATATGGTTGTCCCAACCTGGCTACCTGGAAAACTGGCACTTGAAACCTGCTTTATCTAAACAAAAAAGCAAATGTTTCAGGTGTTGGAAGACAGTGAATGGGGATGAGTCTTGAGCTGGAAAAGGCCCAGTTCCTCAGAGACCAGAAGTGTTTTCTGTTTGGTTTGTGCTGAATAGCTCAGAGGTCTGGTAACTAATGAGCCACTCAAATGTGGTCCTTGCTAGTAATGTAGCATCAGCTGTTTTGGAGCTGGCTGCTCAGTGAAGTAAGCCAGACCATTTGATTTCTGTCCCAAATGCATGTGTTCGCATCAGGAAGCAAAACTGGGGCCTGTGTTAACTGGCACCATGGCTGGCCATCTGTGCACAAAGGGAGTGTTGGCCAGCCCTGAGCACATGATGGGCTGGAGAGAAGGTGCCCTGGGCTGGAGAAGCTGCCTCTGTTGCTGATGGGGCTGGAAGTGGCGGAGAACCTGGGCTGGAGCTGAATTTGCTTTAATGGTGCTTGAGGCTCACTGGAGATGTGGTTTGTCCTGTGAGAAGTGAAGCCCTTGCTTGGCTGGGAGACACTGGGAAGGGTCGAGCACCCTCCTGCTAGGGCAGTATGTAACTGCTGGCTGAAACCCATACCCCCTCCACCTGCAGGAAACGCTGGTTGTTCAGGAGATACTTGGTCCTGTCCAGTGTGCCTGGTCCGAGATGAGTTTTTTTGGGCTAATGGTGTCTGTTCAAGAGGGCTACAGCTCTGGTTCATCTGCCAGGGCAGCTCTGCTGTCCCCACCTGAGTCTGTGCTAAAGAAGCACTTGTATCACATAAGGTGGCAGGGAATAAGGCTGGTCATTATTCTCTCCTTACCTTCATTTCAGGTGAAGTTAATTGCAAATGAGGTGTTTACTAACAGGAGGTGAGAACACCATCTGCAATTACATCTATCAAGTACAGAGAGGAGCTTTAGAGCTGAGCAAATAATGTTTGTGGCTTACCTATTCCCAGGGAATGCATGGCGCTGCTTCTGTATGTGCAACTCTGCCTGCTCTCCTGAAATCCATTTGGGAAGATAAGTGAATCATTTCTCATCAGGCTACAAGAATTTCAAAACTTCTCTCCAGGGTTCCTTCGACGCTCCTCTGCGCACATCTTAATTTCCTGTAACTGTCCTAATCCACTTCCCATAGGTACCCATGGGAGCCTTGTTATCGACCTCAACTGGAAAAAGGATTGCTTCTCTCCCTCATTATAACTGCTATTAACTGGCACAGTTCTTCTCTGCCTCCATCACAGGGGCCATTAACATAATAGGTCAGAGAAAGCTAGCTCTGCCTGTGCCCCTCAAAGGGGTCCCTGCAGAGCTGGGAAGAAGAGCGCTGGCTGTGTGAGAGGAGCTGCTCTTGCCACCTGGGTGTGCTGAGACTGGGGGCTGCCAGCCAGGGTGCCCTTTGCCAGTGTTTACACCTGCATGCCTTGAAGAGTGATATGGGTGACAGCCTGGAAACCTCCCCAGACTGAAGCTCTTTAATTGCCTGTTCCTAGAGCAGCCTCTGGGGTGAAGCAGTGCTTGTTACCTGCCTGGCCCCCGTAGGCTCCCCGCAGAGCTGGTGGTCAATGGAGATGCTGAATTGCCCTTGGAGCTCACCTTTCTCTGTTCCTTTCCCAGAGTAATGAGATCTGGAGAGAGCTGCCAGTTTAAACAGCACCCTCCCTTCTGCAGTGGTGTGGCAGAGCACGCTGATGGCTTATCTTCTGCTGCAGCGCTGGGAATGCCCGGATTTCAGGCTGGAGCTGAAGCAGAGGGCCTGGGAGCAGATTTAGTGAAGAACATACAAGGACAGAGTCCCATGTGCTTGTTCTAGGAGTAAGGTTCAGGTTCTGTAGGAAGATCCTAGGATAGCTGGGGCACCTGAAAACCCCATAAAGTTCAAGCTACCTCAACTAGATGCATATAGGGCAAGAGGCTGGTGTAGCACAAGACTGCCAGGGCCTTGAACTGACCACTGGAAGGTGTTTCCATGGAGGGCACGATCATCTGAGACCCTTTCCTCTGTGACCCCAGAGGCAGGATGATGCTGGTTCATCTATGTCCAGGCTCTAATGGTTGCAATACCTTGAGCTAGTTCTTGCATGAAGCATTTGGGGTGGGACGGCAGGGCAAAGACATGGTCCTTCTGCCCTGTGTAGCCTGCCAGCTACAGCTGCTTGTGTAACAGCAGTGATCCCAGCATCCCAGTCTTGCTGGGGTGTCCAAAGGTGGTGCTCAGCCTGAGAGGAGCATGATGCCTCTGCTAGGTATGGGACAGGTCTGCAGTTAAAATCTGGCTGGTGTTACAGATCTCTTGGCCTGACATCTGCCCTAAATGTCTTCCTGAGGCCATGCAGACTAAAGGGGGTGTGGAGGGAGAGATAAGCAAAATAATCTTCTGCACTGGGCTGCATGTAGTCTTCAATCCCAACAGATCAAAAACATCAAAATTCAGTCTGGATAAAGGAGGGCTTGGTGATGCTCTTTGAGGGGAGGGGAACCATAAAATGGGATTAGGAAAGAACTTGTACTTCAGCATATGGCCAATATGCAGAGCTTGCTAAGAGTCATAAAGATCTGTAATTATATTTGTATGGATTATACTAATCCATGAACTTGTAACCCATGGGACATGGCCATGTTGGGCTAGAGAAACACAGAATTATCAGGCACTGCTTTGTGATGTGCTAGTACATGTCTCGGGGCTGGCTTACTTACTGGAAAGATCCTACCAGGGCTACAGTGCTGGTTGATAGTGTGACTTACTTTTTTTGAGCATAGCCTCAAATGTATATTTGGGAGGCAGGAAAACCCTACCACCTCTTAAATTTGCCTTAAGGAACAGAATAATCAGAAATACATTTGAATACAATCCAGGAAATCACTTGTGTGTTTTCACTTCCTTGCTTGCGTTTACAGAACCAACAGCCCAGCAATCTTAAAATTGCAGATCATGGCTTGCTTTGCTCACCTCTTGAGAATAAACTCACCCCAGCTTCATTTGTTTAACTTCAATATTTCTCATTCTCTGGCTTAACTGGAGCTTCAGGTTCCTGGTCCCCACAGAGAGCGGCTCTGTTCAGGCAGCTCGCTGGTGTTTCACTGTCTGAATCCTAGCTTCCCTCTTCGCTTTGGCAATTGCTCAGATATCCCTGACAGCAGCCTTTTAAAATGTTTTATCTGGTGTTGTTTGCTAATGCCTCTCCTGTGACAGGGGGAACATGATTTCGCATGCTCATCCAAGACTTTAAACACCACAGAGATTAGTGAGGGATGCGGGTACTCAAACACTCACCTGCAGCCTGTACTCAGAGGAGGCTGTGGCCACATTGGAATACCTCACAGGCTGTTAAATAAGACTGAAAGGTAAACTATTGACATCACAGAATCAGGACATGGATTAAATTAACTGACCTCTTCCAATAAGCTGTTGAGCATCCTCTGTATTTCCTGAAATTGGGGGTGTTGGAAGAGCTTGTGGTATGAACATCTCACACCTGTAGCACTGAACACTTTATGCCTACCTGGGGAACAGCAGGGAGATTACAACAGCTGATAGTCCAGCCAGATAGAGCTGATGTCATGTCTTGTGTCGTAGAGCTTGCCTTACTAATGTTGATTGAAGGCAGCGGGTTCTGGGACCATAACTTTTTGGGCTCTGGACCTATTCCGTCTGCTTTCCTTAAAGATGTACAAAACCACACAAGACAGATGAGTTTTGCTGTGGAGAAACCCACCTTCTGGAGTCTTTCTGAAAAATCTTTGTAGGAATCCAGGTTGGGGGGGAGAAAATATGTAAAATGTACCTTCCAGCTACCAGGGTGGGGAGATAGTAATACACTCAGGGAGAGGGAGCAGGTCTCCCAAATGTCATTTGGAAAGAGTTAGAACAGCAACAAGTGAACTTCTGAACTTCAGTGTTCTTGGAAACTGCTAACCTGATGTGAATCTGCTTCCTGGCATGTAAAGCAAACTAAACTAAAAAATGCTTCAGCCTGTGGTGTCGCCATCTGCTATGGGATGGAAGCATCTTCATAGTGGATAATAAAGTATTTTTTCCTGTGCTAGCTTCATGTATTCTCTGGAAATGTGGATGGGCCCTCAGTACTTTTCCCAGTTCTCCCAAAGGTCTTTCATGAAGCCAAAAGGCAGGGGACAACCCCAATCAAGGATCTGGCCTAACCCCTAGGTGGAGCAAACTGCTGTTAGTTTAAGAGGTGGGGGGATGCAAAGCCTTTAGTTAGAGGTATGGGAGGAGGGCAGAGACAGTTGTACTTGCACTGCAGCACGCATACCAGACACCCAGCACAGGGACACAGGCAGACCCCCTTGCCCTGCTTGGCTTAACAGAGCCATTGCTGGACACGTCTAGTGCCTAATGGTCTCTAACAGCAACACTTGCTAATTCAGAGTATGTGGCTGGGTATAGCAATGGATACCAGTCCATGGGTCTTGGTTTGCCCTAAGATGCTAAAAAATTAGCTATCCTGTCAACTCTTAGTGATCCTGAAGCTAACCATTCCCTCACTTTCAGTCACAGAGTGCATTTCAATGAGGTGGAAGACTGGCTGTTCTTCAATATTATCTGCCCTCCAGTGCCCAGATTGTTAAGAGAGGTACTGAGGCTTCATTTAGAAGTCAGTGAACTGGAAATATGAGGGAAATATGGCCCTGAGGCTGGGGAGTGGGAGAAAAAGGAAGTACCACGTTCATGCAGAGCATTTGGTATTTAAGACTCCGTAATGCTTGCGGAGTAGCACGATCTCTGGTTCAAAATGGCATGAGAAACACTGCTTTGCCAGCACTCCCAGGGCTGCACGTCCTGTTCCCTGGTTCAGTGGGGTTGGATGGAGCTGCCTTTCCTCATCCACAGACTGCTTGGCACCACCACCTGTGATATGTCTACTGAGTCAAGATGGGCTCTGTGACTCCTGCAGAGCCACTTTGAAACTGGTTAGGCATCATCTGATAGAGATACGGACGTGTTGGAGCTCTCATACACAACACATCTTATGCCTTGAAGTGTGATCCGCCTCGATAGGATGATTTGTCCTATGTGCTGTGTGCTCATCACACAAGCATGCCCTTAGGGCAAATGATGCAGTTTGGGATGGGTTGGCAGTGGCGACAGCTCTCCCAGTGGGCAGCTTGGATACTGTGGGCTGTAGGAATGGATGCTGAGCCTCAGGAACAGGCAAGGACATGAGAGGTACAGTCTGTGCCCTGGCTGCTCTCCACCCAGCCTGGCTGAGGAGTAATGAGCTGCCTGCCTAGCAGAAGAGACTCTTGTGAGAGGGCTCCATCTTGTTTCTTGTCCTGACTGCGGGTGTTTTCTGAGCAGATTGGTTCTTGCTGGTCCAAAGGGTTCAGTGAAGGAGGTCAATTGAGGGAAGATGTCAGGGAGCTCCATTTCACCACTGTGCTTCCACGTGATGTGCAGAGGAAGAGCAAGGCAATGTCTGGGATGCACTGGGGGGTGATTTCTGAGGTAGATGTGGTCTCTCCCTTGCTCCTGCTGAGCATCCTCATCTCTCCTGATGTGCACAGCAGCTCCTCAGCACCACCCAGCACTCCAAATTGGCTGCTGAGTTCTGCCCAGCTGTGTGTTAAATAGCAAAACATAGACCTATGGAGGGTTTATTTGCTGCATTGGAGTGGGCTTCTGCTTGGCAAGTGCATGTTATTCACATTATCTACTGGGCTGGAGGACATGCAGGGGTTGAGAAGGGTGTCCTCCTTGTGGGGTCCAGCGTGGGAAACAAGCAGAAGGCAGAGGGAAACCTGGCAGGAGCTCCCTGCAGACCAGGCGAATGGTGGGGGGCCCCTTGCTTCTTTGGATTAGCTCTGCATGTGGGCACTGCCTTTTACATCCTGTTCCCTGAATGTGGGTGAAGGAGGCCTTTTGCCTATTTATACCAGATTTGTAAGAGTCTACAAATCCTGTCAGGGAAAAAGAAGTTACTGTCCCTGTTTTGACATAAAGTACAAAATTTGTTCCATATAAAATCTGCTGTCATGAGTAATAGTTGCTGCTGTCTCCAGGTGAGCAATTAGATGATGTTTGAACTCCTTACCTCACCAACTCTTTTAACCAAGAAGGCATTTTTTTCTCCTAATTTTATTAATCCACACAATGCAAGGAACAGCACATACACATCCTTCTGTAACGTCACACTGTTACGCTGTTCACACAGCGATAGCAGTGACTCATGTTCTGGACCAGTGTGGCAGGTATTACGTGTGAATATGTGGCCACTTCTGCTCTCGTAGGGCTGCTGAGAGCATAGGCTGGCATCGATACCTAATGAGAGAGGGGGCTAAAGACAGAGCCTGTTTTGGAAACCTTGTTCTTCCCAAATGATCTTCAGCATTGCTGGCTAATGTTTCATCCTTTCAGTATAGATAAAAATGAGGACAAAATATTTCATTTGTCTTTTTAAAACAGCCCTGCAGTGTCATTACCCTACAATGACTCCCACACTTTTTACAAAATGAGACTTTGTTTTAGCTGGAGGAAAAATGTTTGCAACATTTTCGGATGAGAGTTGAAGCAGAAATCTAAGTAAGGTATTATTTCCCTTAATGAATGCAGTGATGGCAATGCTGCTGCCACGTTTTAATGTATATTGGCCTCTGGGGTCTTGCTGGTCCTTACAGAGAGGGACCCATGAAGTAAGCTGCCCTAACTTGTGCCCTTTGAAGGGACCTGCCCCATGTCTTCTGCCTCACCAGATGAAAAGTGTCAGGCTCATGAGTAATTTGTAGAAACTCATCAGTGTCTGGCCTGGGTCTGAAAAGCTGTTTTCTCTTTATTGCAAGAAGAGCAAGTTGCTATCGCACTCTGAAAGCTTCACATCTGTCTCTGGGCTGGAAGAGCCAGGCTTGTAGTTTACTTCTGCCTCTGTTGCAAACCTTCATTGACAAATGTCATCATTTTGGGGTTTTATGAGTGAGAAAAGAAGAACTAAGAGGGGCTGTCTTATACCAGTTCCAGGAGAGAGATGCACAAGGAGCCCTAGCATAGTTCAGATGCTGTAGGGATGTGGTGGGCATCTGTGGTTGCAGACGTCAGAGCTCCTTATCTCCTTGTCACCTTAGGCCAAGCTTTCCTTAAGCAGCTCAGCTGTTACTCCCCAAAGGGCAGGAAGTTGTTCCTTGTGCTTAACTCTTATGTTCAGGTCAGTGCTGCTTGTGTAGATGCAGCTCAGGAATTAAATGCTCATACTGATTGCCATTACAAGCATCTTACGTGAATATCTGTCTCATCTCACGTTTTCCTAACATCTTAAGAGCAGAATTTGGGAGCCATATCAGTGGCGTGCCTCTTGCCTCAGTTTTTCTCCCAGTATCACTGTGTGACTCCCCTCAGAGAGCTCTGTGTGATGCTGAACACTGAAATGTTCCCTCCAGCAAAACCTCTTAAAGGATTACTTTGACTTGTGATTAAAAGTGGCAGGGAATACTTGGCAGATCTGAGACTCTCAACAAAGCTGTGCAATTTGATTTCTGTTTTTTTTTTTTTTGCCTTTTATTTAGTTACTTATGTTTGAAAGCTAACAGGCTGCCTACCAGGCTTGGGAGGGCAGGTGAGTTTTGGTTCGTTCAAGACTTGATGTTTAGCCTGGGAGAGGATGAGGTTGGAAATTGTGTACCGAGGTTTAAGAGAAGCTTTCCTTTTAACTCTCGTTGGCATAAATTCTGATACCATGTCCCCTGCTAGAGGGGCTGTGTATCTGCAGGGGGAGGCTCTGGAGTGCAGTTTGTGCAGTCACAGAGCACACACCCTTTCTGTGGCATGGGCTTCACAGAGGATGTCTTATGAGCCTGATCCATCTGCATCAGCCCAGGGTTACACAAATCCCTGCCTAGCTGCAGGTGACCATGATGCTTTTTCTTCTCCTTCAAGCATTTTCAAAAAATTTTTTACTTCAAGCATTTTCTACTGCAAGCATTTTCAAAATCAAGCGATGTCTCTGCTCAGGAGAGGTGTAGACCAGAAAAAAGCACCTGGTGCACACCCCTTGCCAGATGCACAGTGTGTTGTTGCAGAGGGGTTCCCATAGACTGGCCAGGGCACCTGATTGCCTGCAGGGGAGAGGTGAGTTTGGCTGAGGCTAAAAAGGACAGAGAGGCACTTGGTAAAATTTATGGGGATTTGGGCTCACATTCTCAAAATCATTGATGTGCTTAAAAACCCTGAAGGATAGAGACTTCTGCCCTTCCTTGACTCTTGAATTTGTCTTTGTTGTACATGTATGTTGAGGCAGAGGAGTTAGCCTTGTCCTTGCACAGACAGGAGAGGAGAGATGTGAGCATATTACTGCAGTGTCTCAGGGTTCAGCTGGTCAGGGACAGTGAGTTCAGTGGCTCAGGTCTGCGCCGTGGGTCCTGCAGCTTTTCCTCCTCTTGGGGAGTGACCGGGGCAAGCCCATGCCTGCCCTAAACATGCTTTCTGCCTCCTGCTCCAGCTGCTGGAACTAAACTTTCTTGCCTATCAGGTTGTGCTTCATCCGTGTTTCTGCAGTGATAGGGAGAAGACGTGCAGATGCTTTGGGCATGCAGTTGGAGGCAAATGGTTCTGCTCCATGCCCAGCTGGCCTCCTCTGCATGAGGCAGATGTGTGCAAGATGTGGCTGGAGCTGACCTATGGGGATGCTCGCTCCCTGTGGGGCTTGCCTGCCTCCTCCAAGCATCGTGCCCTCAGCAGGCTCTGACCTAGGGGAGGTGGGGAGGTCACTCAGGCTCTGCCTCAGAGCCAGGGTGCAAGCCCATGGCCAGGGGAGGATGCTGTGCGGATAGCAAAGAGGGGAGCTGGAAGCACAAGGAGATTGGCAGTGGGGAAAAGTCCTTGAGTTCTGGGATGAAGCTTGCTCCTTTCTTTTGAATCTGAGATTTTAGGACATGCATAAGCTGTGTATTAAAGGGATGAATGTGGAGCATATGTGTCTGCCTGAGCTGTTACCTGTGTGGATTGATGGGGAGAAGCAGCACTCTGGGTGCTCCTGGACATGAGACACCAGCTGACTTTGCTCAGGCTGCTGCAGAGGACTGCCCATTTACAGGAGTC